AGAAGAGGAGATCAAGAAAGAACGGCAGACGTCGACGTACGCGCACTGCCGGTCGATATATGTCACCAGCTTCTAACGTTTTTTTTTCTTATGGTCACATATCGGCACAACGCCACTACGAATGTACAAATGGAAGTAGAATGCGTGCCGCATCCCAAAAAGGGATTGATCAACGGCAAATGCTTTATCCTTTTTATCCTTTATACTTCGTATTCAATAGCTGCTATACGAAGTTATTAGAACCTGAACCTATAATCGCTGCACCCAGAAAACTTCTTTTTAGAATGGGAATTTACAGAAAATCTTCGAGCTTTTTTTCTGTTCGCATTCCGAACGAAAATATGAAAAATCTACGTAATTTTTGTGAGGGATGAGCGAAAAATGCGAACCGAACATCTAATCGTATGCTCCGCCTATTCTGGGCGGAGCGATCCTGCGTTGTTGACGCGCTTTTGTCAAAACGCTGGAGCGCAAGGTGCCAAGTCATAGATTGTTTCTGTTGAACATTTGTCCCCGTCTTTGACCGGTGGTGATAGAGAATTCTACCAATAACCGACTTCATTTATCATTTATTTTTTTCACAACTGTATGACATTGAATAAAGGCAAAAGGCTTTCCTTTCCGCAGGTATGAAAAAATGCTGCTTTCTTCTATGCCACAAATGGATTATAGAATTCTTAAGGATTGCGCTATTATAAACAAAGAAGTAAATAAATAAATGAGCAAGCAAATAAATCAACAATTAATGATTCGTACTCACCGGTCATATGAGGATCAACAGAGTGCTTCTTTTTGTGGCATGGTGGTTCATGGCGAAGATCGTCAGCAAACGAGAAACAATCACACCATTCATCGACGGAAATTTGACCGTCAACCACCATATCATCTAAATTTTGAAAACATGAAATATTGCCTAAAATTTTGAGGCTTATATGGGACAGAAAATTGCGTTCAAGAAGGGTTTTCATGAAAAAGGTGGTTTTTTGATGGTGATTTTGATGAATTCTTTTACTACTGGTTCTTTTACTACTGGATTTGGAGAGATTCGGGGGTTTCACTGTCCTCTCCACTTATTTGTGGACAATATTAGTATCGCTAATAGTATCACCAAAACACACTAAAACCAATCAATTATTGATCGAGTAATGAATTCTTTGCAAAATATAGCTTCATACCTGGCTGTGAAATGCCAGGAATGTCATGTGGTTACCGTACCCTTTGCAAATTATAGGATAGTCACGTCCGAAAAATGGTGCGCACTTAGGAAACCCTGTATTAAGCACCGAAATTGTTTCGACGCCGGTTAATTGCAGACAGCGCTTATTGTTGGGCAACTTGTCAGTCATTCTGTCCCACTGTTCCGCTTTTGAGTGTACTGGCGATAGTGCCGTCGTAGCTCCCGGAGTCCAGGTCCACGGCCGTGCGCCGCTCCAGCCCTCCGCTAATCTCTCCCTCGCCGTCGATTCTATGCCCCGAGCACCTAGCCGCTGGTAGAGTCGCACAGTCAGAGCGTTTCGTTGACGCGACTGAGACTGCCGCTCCATGCGAAATCAAGCCGGCAAAAAGGGTCTCATTTCCGTATGCGTTACGTTTCTTTGCATGGTTTTCTTTATTATTAGGTTGGAAAGAAAGTCCTGCAACACTTTTTCAAATTTTTGATTTTAATTTTATCTTTTTTGGTTACAACTCCTGACCGGTCTTATATCTACCATGAGTGTCCACCACTTGTCTCCATCGCTCAGAAAATTTCTTGCTCCTTGCCAAAACCCAGCGGAGTGCGAGTCGAGAAAGGAGGCGACCTCACTTTCGAGTTGGAGTTGATCGTCTGATTATTTCGTTATAAAGATGATGATTAAAGGTCCAGGATAGGTAGCACTCATTTACAGCTCGACCAGGGGATTACGCTAAGAGAGGAAAGAAATCTTGCCGCAACTCCAGAATTTCTTACCGGGCTCATTTCGGATCATGGTGATTCGCAATGTCATGAAAGAAATGAATATTGTCGCGGTACGAGGGCTCTTGACGAGCTACCTCGGCCAGCTTCTGGTACTCCACAACCTAGGCCACTGCCTACACAATGGTGCCCATAACGAAGGGTATGTAGTGGAGCTTCTGTAAGAGCCCTACCTGTAATGGAGTGAGGGATGCTGCTGGCTTCTTATAAAAATATCAAAAGATCGGAAGCGCTGGTAAAGGTGAAACACGCTGTAGCGCTGAACGGCATGCCTATTAGAAGCTATTGCAGATAGTGTCAGTCGTTGACACGAATCCATGGTTTTGTAGACATTTGTACTAGACAGTGACTCGGAGTACGGATTTGCTAGTGGTCGAGATTTTTTGAATTTTCTTGGATAACTACTGACTGCAACACTTATATCCACCGCGTGGATTGAAGCCACGAGAATGCTCTACCATTTGGTAGTCATAAATGTTACCTATTAATTTTTCAGAAAAAAAGAAAATTTTGAAAAGAGTGTTGCAGAACTTTCTTTCCAACCTAAAGCTTCACTGACGCCTTAACCTTCGGCTTCTAATGAATTCTACTTACGCATATGTCGAGATCCACCCTTCAACGGATACTGCCTTCTACTGTAGGCAAAGAATAAGGATGTACAGCGACTTTATTGGCTGCAGTGTGAGAGACTTTCCTGAAAGCAACGTCTAGAGACAGAAAACCCAAACAGGTGTATCAGATATGCGACGCTAAAAACAAGAGAATATTATAAGTACTAAAAGGCAGTGCCGTAGAGTAAAGCAAAATGTATAGAATATGGCAGTAACTCAGTACAACGTGCAGTACTTAAAGGCGGTGTTCAAGATCTGACTTTTCCTCATCGCTGAGTTCATTGGCTGAAAAAAAGCGACGGTTTCGAAAGAATAAAATATAGGACAACTGTCACAAAGCAACGGAAAAGAGAGAAAAGACTATATTGCGAAACATCACTGTACAAAGTCAGCTGATCAAAAATACTGGAACCAGGTCAACTCTAATGCTAGTTTTTCACAAATTTTACAGCCCCTCCTCGCCAGGATCTTACGCCCTTCTTCCCAAGTGGTATCGATACGATCCATCACTATCACCAGCCGTACGTGATCCCTCAATGTGTCCCCCTCTCCACCCTGACAACTACCCTCATCCTTAAGGCCGCTTCTATGGTACTCGATTTTGAGCAGCAGTCGACGGGAAGGGGGGGTACTATAATTGCTATCTAGACAAGCAGGGAAAGCGGCGATCATCCAATCGATGACCACTTATGTTTCGGTTTTTCGACCAACACCGGAATTTTGAAATAACCATCGTCCTAAAACGATCATTCGCTCCTCACAATCAGACACCACTCAACTGTCCACAAAATAGCCGCCCCCCCCATCCTACAAAATCTTATTGATACACAGTGTATGAACCGCACGACTGTCTGTGCTTTGATCCAGCATGCCTTGATTTAGTCAGCACCACTTACCGTATTGTCCGCAATCGGGGAGTTCGCCTTTGGTACGAGACTTATCGAATTCACGTCCAAATCGATCAACACACCAACAGTATCCCGTTGTGACACTGTTCAGGACGGTAGTAACCTTCCAGATCACATCGTGGCAAGAACGCACCTGAAATCGAATTCTGAAGGTCATGTTCATTGGTTGTGATGAAATCGGGGTGGCCATTGGACCAGTTTACTGAAACCAACTGGGGAAAATCCAGGATACAGCACAATGCAAATCTCAATAAGGGATTGTTGCACATTAAAGTTTTCCCCCCAGGGCTCTCCATATTTTTATTTGTGAGTTATGTGAAGGGATAATAGCACCAAATAAATAAGAAATGCGCCATCTAACCCATGCGATTGCTTATGACATTCTTATAAAATAAGAGAAATGAGAAGAACAAGAATGCCGCCATCTTAGCCTCTTCCTATAGAGAGGGTATGGCCTCGGAACATGAGTAATTCTGCCCTTCCATATACGACTACTTTGCTTATGGTACGCTATGCCGTTGGTCGGGAGCGGCTCGAGTGTACGCCATATGTGACAATGGCGCCTAGCGTCCATATCGAAGTGATCTGAGACGGTCTTATTGAGCTAATGACGACGTCCGCTCGGCACACCACCGCAACGTGGCCTACGACTACAATGGCGAATCAAACACTTGTCCTTTATGTTTCGTGAGTCCCATAGAAGCTGCGGAGCAAGTGAATTCAGATGTCTTACCGGACGCGTGCGCCCTCTCTTTTTGAGGAAGAAGTGGTGCCCTTGTTTATAGCCGCTCGATCATGCAGAGCGATTCGCTTTGACTCCTTTTCGTTAATGCGACATCCCACAATTTCAATACGATCATCTGCTCCCCCCGCCCCTCCCCCTCCACCTCCCAGCAATATTGATCTAGGGTTGTTGCTAAGTTCGCAGACGATTAGTGAATCTTCCAGAGAAAAAGGCTAAAGATGAACAATTTCAAATTCTTAGTAAACCTCCTACCTATGTACTCTCGTGTAATCATCCTATTTCCTCCTCCATTGCGAATAAAGTGGAAAAATTTCCCAGGTTTGAAACTCTTTTTCATCGCGGCCTATTTCCCACGACTTGAGTTGGCGTTGACAAGTAGCAGGGTGAGAGGTCGATGATGAAAGGGAAATGGTAAAAAATGAAGGAGAGACGAGACTGTGAAGGTCGCGTGCATTTGAAGGTATTGACCAAAGTTCACGAAACCATAAACTGATCAGCATGCGGCATGGGTCTGACTCGTCCGCCTAGCTAATGAGGGAGCCGTATCCACTGCTCCCTGGGAAATTTGACACATTGGTCCACTGAACCCCTACACACCAACATCGTCACTATGATGGCATTCAAGACCAAAGTTAATGGGTCTACAGTACACCCAGAACAACCGAAGTGGATTTAGAGGCAAGGCCAAGCTGGAATCGAAACATGGGGATATCACACGAAACTGCCGATAATGTTGTGTGATAGAGGAAAAAGTTTGGAGCCGATGTAGAATCTCAAAAACTCCTAAAATTAAGAAAAACTATGGAACAATCCTTCAGATGCATCATGACAAGAGGTATTTTTCTTATAACCAGCGCCAGTAATTCTTTTCTAAACCATAGACCGAGTCGACAGAAAGTCACAGCCATTTGCTTGGAATAGCCTCATTTCTATAAAAAGAGCTGTATGGGTTTATTCCTTAGTCCTTTTTCTATGGGTATTCCCACTGCTTTCTTACCATTTGTGGTTACTCGAACAACGCCATAGCATACCTCCAACCCAACAGTCATGTGACGAAATTCACGAAGCCATTTTTCCATTTACATTCACGACCACATCTTTATTTTCTTGCTTGCTTTCCTCGTTACCTTGAATGGTCACGAGTTTCTCAGCCTCAGCCATTCAAATTCCGCCCACCCAGTCTGCCAACCGGTGAACCAAGTTATCTAGTGCCTTCTGTGCTTCTGTGGTACTCACTCCAAACCCCTGTTGTCCTTGTTCTCGAACGGTTCAGCGAGAGCAGTCGGTCATCTCTCAATCCGTGCGCCGCGTCCACGACTGTCATGTTAATCGCCAATCCGCGATTAAATCCTCGTAAAATTCGACACTCGCTGTCGTAAACAATGTTCCATGCACTGTACGGACGGACTCGATCGCAAAACAATCACGCATCGATCACTCATGCAATGATTTTATCATCGCTTTTCTAAGTTCCGTTGTAAAATCCCTTCAAAAACGTCAAGTCATAGAAAGGAGTCCTCGTTTCGGCTTTCCGGAATACGCCATGAGTGCCAACATCTACGCAGATTTGCAGAGGCATTTGAGTGATTTTCTGACCGCCACAACAATTCACAAGATCCAAGAAGTTCGCTTCGCGTTCTCACTCGAAGGTTAGCTATTATACAGGGTGGGCAAAAATTACGGTAACAAGAGCGCTAACCAAACATCTCGATTTCCTTCGAACCTAATAAATGCACCTGGTTGAAGAGACCCCGGAGAGAAATCACTAGACACAACAGCAAGGTAGACCGCTTGTGCACAAAGCAAATATTGTGCAACATTGGTTTTGCAGAATTTTCCGAATTCATGCCATTGAACGAGGGGCCACCTTATTTTCCCGTGTTAAAGCAAGTGGGTTATTTTCCGTGGAGTCTACTGAAGACGATGGGCTACTACGAGTATCACTAAAGCATCGACGAATTAAAGAAGATCCTAGGGTAAGCTCGATGTCACCTACCTACACAACAGGCCATATGCGTTCCCGAGATGACTTCATTCAGGTATAAACGCAAACAGCGGCCAGTCCAAGAAGTGATGTTGTATTCTGTCTGGTGACCTCCTATGAATACATTGTTGGGGTCCACGTGTGTCTTGCTGGCCGAATTGCTCTTCCATGAACACTTTATCCTGTTACCGTAATTTTTGCCCGCCCTGTATATCCCGCGTTCCACTACAGTTGTACGCAAACCTTTCTCGCGACTGTCAATCTCGACTACTGTTTCAGAGTCCTGGGAAACCGTACTTTTTCTGTTAAACCCCTTCAAACTGTGTTGCAGTTTTGAGGGCTAATAACTTGGTCCGGTAGGGTTTCCACTGTCCCCGAAAAATCTCACTTCGTTATCCACGATTTCGGTATAAAGGTCAGGGTTGCTGCGAATTCACGATAACGAACTCCATTCGGACATTCCTTAAAAAACTATCGAACACCACTTTCATCCGACATTCCGATCCATTCGCTTTATCATCATCGAGAAAAACTGTTGTAAAAGCAAGAATCACAAGAAACTGGCGATTTTATAGAACCCCAAATACAGCATCTTGTTAATCGTGACGTCGGCAATAACAACGTGAGAAATGTGCGTAATTGGTTCCATTTCCTGGCAAAAAAGTCGCAGCTGCAACGTCGACCACCCTGCTAAATCGCTAAAAGTCTCCTCCTTCTGCACTGGCCTGAATTCCTAGCGAGCTTCCTTGAACGGGTTTGATTCAACCTTTGTGCTTCCTCACTCTTCTGTGTGTACCTAGTGTGTTGAACCTATCGTAGTGAACATCCGCGAATTAGAAAAAAAACCAGTGGCAGGTCACATCCCGGAAAAAAACGTTCATCCAATGATCTCTCGTCCGGATATCGCATTGTTTAACACCCGATTATATTTAAGTAAATAAAGATAATCAGAAAACAAATGCGTTTCGATTCGTAAGTTGCTCTACAGCGTACCAGCCGCGTCAACTCGCTACCACCGCTTGCCACGGGAAGAGGCGCGAGAATAGTGTTTGCAGAAAATAATCCCCAGACAGAGCGGCAGACGACGACGTGCGCGCAACTGGCGCGTCGATATATGTTCGATTCTAAACCTTTTTTGGTCTCTTAATATTGTGCTGTCCCGGAGCCTCATCAGCACCTAAATATTGTATAACACAGAGAGGCACCAAAATTTTATTTCAAAAGAATTCCAAAAGTTCAGAAAGTTCGAAAATTCCAAAAACTCGAAAGTTTCAAAAGAGCAAAAAGCTATTTGAAAAAGAATCCTTTTGAAATCCTCCGTTTAAACACCGAAATATCGCGGAGGATTTCAAAAGGATTCTTTTTCAAATAGCTTTTTGCTCTTTTGAAACTTCGAGTTTTTGGAATTTTTGAACTTTCTGAACTTTGGAATTCTTTTGAAATAAAATTTTGGTGCCTCTCTGTGTTATACAAAGTTTTTTTATCCCCACTATCGCACTCTTCGGCTTAAAGGAATCTTGCGCGGAAAAATCATGATTCTATTTCAGCCATAAATCACTGGCTTGAGACTCATTATCCACGATAATAGTGAAAAGAACTGAAGTATTGCTTTCGTTTTGATTAGAAATTCGAAAACTCGAAAAGGCTGCTACGCGTTCGAATTGCCCACGGACGTCTTTCACGAATGCTGGCGACGGGGATGCTCAAACTTGGTTCTTGGAGTGCATTCACTAGAAGCTCTTTCTGGCCTTCTGCTTCGTTGCATTCACATCTTACACTTCTACTCCATCCTATTCCATCGATCGATTTGTCTCCACTCTCCGAAATCGCGCGCTTTAACCCGATTCTCTCATTGCGTCGCCTGGTACGTAGCCGGCCAAACGCCGTCTTCTTTCCATGCCTCGCCTGGCTCTGCCTCCGCGG